ATCACGGAGAGGCGAACGAAAATGATACAGAGCAGAAAGTTGTGAAGCCAGTTGCCCTTATGGTGGTCACTGTAAGATTTTATAATTACCATTTTTCTTTATGCAATTTGACTGCTCGGTTATTTTTATTAATTTTCTGTATCGTCCTTACATTATGTTCCGAATGGAACTGATAGTACGCGAGAGATTGTTGTCTCGTGTGATTCCTGTGATTCAGAAGAAAATATAGTTACTGTGTTTCAAGTAATTATTTTTCACAAATCATCTTTGCCTAGTCATTCAAAGTGAGTTAACACGGTTTTCTTTTTGTAATTTGTTGAAGGGTACGATTGACGCGGATGGTTTAGGTCCGATTTCATGGTGGGTATAAAGATGATTCATTGAGCATGAGATGTAGAAGCGAGCAAGATATTTCTTATACTTCCAGAAATTTTCTGACTTATATTGTAGCACAAAATTGAACAGGGGAGTGTGTTAGTGTAACTTGTGTTATTATTAGGAGTTTTTTAACAGGGGCTTGTACGATTGATCAATGAGCCCAAGAGGCCCTCAGACAAGCCCCTTCGTCTCCCTCTCCAGGACGTCTACAAGATTGGCGGGATTGGCACTGTCCCTGTTGGCCGTGTGGAGACTGCTATCCTCAAGCCTGGAATGGTCGTTACATTTGGACCGCCTGGCCTAACCACTGAGGTGAAGTCTGTTGAGATGCACCATGGGGCCATGCAGGAAGCCGTCCCAGGTGATAACGTTGGGTTCAATGTGAAGAATGTTGTTGTCAAGGATTTGAAGCGTGGTTATGTTGCTTCCAACTCGAAGGATGACCCTGCCAAGGAAGCTGCTAACTTTACCTCTCAGGTTATCATCATGAATCACCCTGGGCAGATTGGTCAGGGCTATGCCCCCGTGCTCGATTGCCACACTTCTCACATTGCTGTCAAATTTGTCGAGCTCGTGACTAAGATTGATAGGCGGTCTGGTAAGGAGCTGGAGAAGGAGCCCAAGTTCCTGAAGAGTGGTGATGCTGGGATTGTTAAGATGATTCCGACAAAGCCCATGGTTGTTGAGACTCTTGCTGAGTACCCGCCTCTTGGTCGTTTTGCCGTGCATGACATGAGGCAGACTGTTGCAGTTGGTGTTATCAAGAGCCCATGTTAATAAGCCCATGGTTTT